GCAGAAGTGCTGGATGGTCCCCCTGCAGTTGGAACACATTCTGATCCCGACGCCAACTCAGCGAACGAGTTGCAGGCACTTTTGGGGGTCTACAGTTGGCAGTAGATACGGTTGGGTGAGATACAAGCAAGCCATGGATGCCATGGATGCCATGATTTGCTCACAGTAGTTGGCCGGTCTCCAAAAATCTCCAAACATGTGAAGTTTTCTGAGTGTTTGAACTTCGGAAATCATAAAACTTATCACAAGGATGATATATATATATATATAGCTAAATGCATCTAAACATCCCAAACCAAACGCTTGACGGCGCTTAAGTTTTATTTTTTGTTTTAGCAGCTCATGGGTTTTCTGAAAGGGGCAACTCTATCGCAGATGAGAACTGCATAGCAGATGTGGCTGACGGAAAGGGAGAAGATCGTGAAAGAGCTGGACGGCAAAATGCTTTTTGTCACTGTGCTCTACGAGTTCCTTGGCTCCTTTTGGCTCCGCCACATTGGTTGCGGCCGTGCCATATCAGAAGCTATAGGCTATGCTCTAAAAAGTTGTGGTCAGTTTGTCATATACTTCCGCTTCGAAACTCATATTGTTTTAAGTCGGCTCCGGAATGTCGTGTGCCCATGCAGTGGCAGGTTTCCAGCCCGTTCTTTCTTCAGCTATTGGAAACTCTAAGAAACAGTCCATTGAATTCCATATCCTATTTGATCCTGTTTCAATATGGAGGTTTCCGAAGTGATTTGGGGGTACCCCCAAATCATCATCATCCATTTTAGATTAGGATGATCATCATGATCATCCATTTTCGATGGGGATTTTCGGGATTTACCATGAAACAAACCATCCATTTGGGAGTATTCAACCAGCTCAGTGACAGAACCAGCTGGCAATGTGGAACCGGTTCCGAGGGACGAAGACTTCTCAACGGACTTGGCGTCTGCCGAGCGGATTTAAGGGGCGGAAACCCCGGACCGGGGTTTCCGTAGGCGGATGTGGCTACCCCCATAGCTGAATGGTTTGTTGATTTCCATGGGAAAATCCCAACCTGAAATGGATGATGATTTGGGGGTAGCCCTATTTTAGGACACCACCATTTAATTAAACATATCAAAGTCAAAAAGGCCAAAGTAGTTTTAAAAAAACTTGTGCACCTTTCATTTGTTGATCTTGTTTCACCGGAAATGTGGCTAGGATTTGCCAAGGACTTCAAAGGGGCAGGGTTGTGGACCGGATCATGCTTGGAGTCATCAAACATGTCAATTAATGTCAATTATTCTTCCATCTAATCACATCTTAAAACCACAAAACATCATTTTCCTACAGAAGTTCACTCCCCACTACATCCCACTACATCCCACTACATCCCACTACATCCCACTACATCCCACTACATCCCACTACGTCCCACTACACCCCACTACATCCCACTACATCCCACTACATCCCACCACTCCTTGACCTTCATGTGATGACCACTTTCTATGGAGCCAGGCCGGATCGCACCAGCCCTTTCGGACGAATCGCCACTGGATGCATCGCAATGTATCCCGCTTCGTTGATTACCCAAAAAATGGAGAAAGGTGTCCGATTTGTGATGGTCATTACACTGTATTTGTGATTAATCATTGTGGATTTGTGAATTTTAGTTTTGGCCCAGACTTGGTGCATTGAACACTGTAAGAAGGCTTTGCCAGCAATACGATTGGCCACAGTCCATTGTCAAAGCTTGGAGCCACGCCGCGGTTCTTTGGCAAGGTGAGGTTTCCCGTTGCTAAGGAAGTCTTGACCAAAAAGAAGCTGGAAGAATTGATGGCACAGGGCGATGTGGACGACACTCCTAAGGCAGGCAGCGAGTTTGGCAAGGCCACTTGGCAATGAAAGAGGGGGGGAGGTTGTCACTTGAAAGCCTGCAAGAGCGCATGTTTGCAGGAAAATGATGGAACTTGCGATTTCTGCGATGTGGTTAAGAGAATCCAGTTGCCGCATTTCTCCTGAATTTTGGCACCAATTTTGGAGCTGACACATGTATCCAGGTATCATAAAGATGTAGACTCGAATAAAACATGATAGAATTAAAGGACCGGATAACCCCACATGTCAACTTCTTCCAACAAGCAGCAAAAGAAAGGTAAAGATGGCATGGGGAAAGCAGGAAATAGAGAAGAGATGGTGAAGGATTGGCGTGGAGCAAGTTGTGTGTGGAAGAGTAAGTACGAGTAAGTTGTGTATGGACAAGTTGTGTTGTATGCATGTATGTATGCATGTATGATGCATGTATGTATGTATGTATGGATGGATGGATGGATGGATGGATGGATGTATGGATGCATATATATATATATATGGAGTCAAATGGCTACAGAAGACGCAGGTACGACAATCTCATCCAACACAAACATGTCACAGTGTACGCAAAAGTGCAAGTGATGCAGCAGAGGTACATGCCCAGTCGATGTCACCAAGTACCACGCATGCCACGTGAAACGAAGGTGGATGTCTCCAAGTGCCACGCCAGCCACGCCACGCCAACAGCCGCGGCGTCCCGGCGCCACACCTAAAACCAAGCGCGCCACCAGAGCCAGCCCAGTGCCATAAGTGCCACGCCATGCCACGCCTGCCACGCCAGAGTAGAAGTCGATGTCACCAAGTACCACGCATGCCACGTGAAACGAAGATGGATGTCTCCAAGTGCCACGCCTGCCACGCCAACAGCCGCGGCGTCCCGGCGCCACACCTTACAAAAACCAAGCACGCTACCAGAGCCAGCCCAGTGCCACAAGTGCCACGCCTGCCACGCCAGAGTAGAAGTCGATGTCACCAAGTACCACGCCTCCCACGTGAAACGAAGATGGATGTCTCCAAGTGCCACGCCTGCCACGCCAACAGCCGCGGCGTCCCGGCGCCACACCTAAAACCAAGCGCGCCACCAGAGCCAGCCCAGTGCCATAAGTGCCACGCCTGCCGCGCCAGAGTAGAAGTCGATGTCACCAAGTACCACGCCTGCCGCGTGAAACGAAGATGGATGTCTCCAAGTGCCACGCCTGCCGCGCCAACAGCCGCGGCGTCCCGGCGCCACACCTAAAACCAAGCGCGCCACCAGAGCCAGCCCAGTGCCATAAGTGCCACACCTGCCACGCCAGAGTAAGTTGTGTGACGACAAGTTGTGTGTGAGCACGTGGTGTGATGACAAGTTGTGTGTGAGCAAGTTGTGCGCGAGCACCACGCCTGCCACGTGAAACGAAGATGGATGTCCCACGCCAGAGTAGAAGTCGATGTCACCAAGTACCACGCCTGCCACGTGAAACGAAGATGGATGTCTCCAAGTGCCACGCCTGCCATGCCAACAGCCGCGGCGTCCCGGCGCCACACCTAAAACCAAGCGCGCCACCAGAGCCAGCCCAGTGCCATAAGTGCCACGCCTGCCACGCCAGAGCAGAAGTCGATGTCACCAAGTACCACGCCTGCCGCGTGAAACGAAGATGGATGTCTCCAAGTGCCACGCCTGCCGCGCCAACAGCCGCGGCGTCCCGGCGCCACACCTAAAACCAAGCGCGCCACCAGAGCCAGCCCAATGCCATAAGTGCCACACCTGCCACGCAAAGTGCCACACCTGCCACACAAAGTGAATGTGGATGTCACAAATTGCCACGCCTGCCACGCAAAGTTGCCATGTGAAACTGTTGACAAGTTGTGTGTGGGCAAGTTGTGTGTGAAGAAGTTGTGTGTGAGTAAGTTGTGTGTGAGTAAGTTGTGTGTGAGTAAGTTGTGTGTGTGTGCAAGTTGTGTGTGAGTAAGTTGTGTGTGAGTAAGTTGTGTGTGTGTGCAAGTTGTGTGTGTGTGTGCAAGTTGTGTGTGAGTAAGTTGTGTGTGAGTAAGTTGTGTGTGAGTAAGTTGTGTGTGTGTGTGCAAGTTGTGTGTGAGTAAGTTGTGTGTGAGTAAGTTGTGTGTGTGTGTGCAAGTTGTGTGTGAGTAAGTTGTGTGTGAGTAAGTTGTGTGTGTGTGCAAGTTGTGTGTGTGCAAGTTGTGTGTGAGTAAGTTGTGTGTGAGTAAGTTGTGTGTGTGTGCAAGTTGTGTGTGTGCAAGTTGTGTGTGAGTAAGTTGTGTGTGAGTAAGTTGTGTGTGTGTGTTTGCAAGTTGTGTGTGAGTAAGTTGTGTGTGAGTAAGTTGTGTGTATGTGTCAGTTGTGTGAGGCGGCGGGAGGCGAGGCGGCGGGAGGCGGAACGGACGGAGGCGGCCGGGATGCAGAATCAAAAACAAGAACCCCACACAAAGATGTGGGGAACAATATGTACCCTCTGGCAATCAAGCATGGCAAGGGACAATCCATCATTTATGGATTAGTTTAAATTATTTTCCTATTGAACATTCCATTTATCTCGATTTATATTGGATTTCCCATTGCCATGTTTGATTGCCAGAGGGTATACATGGTACTTTCCTTCTTACTTTGTCGGGAATAATATACCACCACGTATGTCAAATTGGTGCCAACATGGGAAGCAAACGTAGCGTGTCAGATTGAAGAATTGTCAATTTTTTGCAGTGACAGCAAAAGTTACAAACGAGAGGTTTGGGATTTTTGTTGTGCAATCTGGCAGTCCTCTCATGCATTTCCCGAGGCTGCGACCCAGGAGGGTGAAGAGGCTTTGGGCAGCGTGTCTGGTGGAGAGACGCCCGATGTGAAGAAGTCCAAGAGCCATGCTTCGTTCCGTCCGAACCAAGGGAAGTTGAGCCGTTTCTTGGCACCACCTACGGTCGTGGTCAAAACAGGGAATCACATGCTGTGGATCTGTGGCCACCATCCAGCCATGTTGGGACCTTGGGCAACTTGCCACCGAGGATTCCTGACATCAATGGCTGGGATCCCAGAGAACAGTGACAGGTTGAGAGGTTGGAAAAAGTGGTCCAGCGATGAGAATTTCTTACTCATCTTATGCTGTGTGCTTAGATGTCACATGTCATGTATGTCATGAATATCATGAATGTAACGTGTGCAATACGTGGAATGTATCTAATATGTCTGATGTAGCTAATGTATTCAATGTATCGAGTGTAATATATGTAATGCAGCGTGGTGTAATGTAATTTGATGTCATGTAGTCTAGTGTGGCGTGAAGGAATCTAGTCTACAAGTAGTGTGTGTATATGTATGCATCGTATGTAATTATTCGAAGTATGCAATGTACGTCACGCAATATAGCAAAGTGATGTGATTCAACGTGATTTGCAGTGATGAATACATATATATATAACTCAATGTATGTATAAAATGTAATGTAATGTAATGTAATGTAATGTAATGTAACGTAGTAAAACGTAAAGTAACGGAGTGTAGTATATGTAATACATCGAAAGGTAGCGTGACCTAGTGCAATGTGTGTATTTATGTCACTATGTATTGATTGTATGTATTGATGCATTGCAGATATGGAATGTATGCAATGTAATTTAATGTCATGCAATATAATGTAAAATAAAGGCAACAAAACATTATGTAATGCATGTTTGGATAATATACAGTTCTCATGTATGTATATGTATCTGGCATGTATAAAAATCACGAAATGTGTGTATATAAAATATTCACATGATGCATTGTAGTGTTTTGGACCTATCCTTAGCATAATATAACCAACCAGAATTTGGAACAGCCCTCATATATGTAATGTACATATGCATATTACATTGAGATTTGTGTACCATATGGTGTACAGTATATAGTACACATGATTTTGTGCACTTTATGAAACTGTAAGAATACATCAAATTACTAACCTTTCTACATGATTTTAGCCATATCGACAAAAAGAAACACCAGGAACGTAAGAGTCTGGTAGGAAGATGCTACTGAATCACCAGATTTAGCACCTTGGAAACAAGCCTCGAAAGTTGTTGCAGATGAAGTCATGTTCCATTTGCAGACACACCCATGTCAATATAGATGGTTTATTAATGGTTTATCGAAAATTGCCCCAAAACAATCCGAAACAAGCTCTTGTTTGGGCATCCTTGGTGATTTCTTACCACTTAACAGTACAATTTGAGTGTGCACCGGTAACGTGCAGATGATTGCCTCTAATTTCATGCCACAATCAACATCAATCAACTGAGGTGCAGGAAGGTGATGAAAAACCACTGTTCTCTTCGCTGATCCTTGGCGTTTCAGAAAGCCGTGGCGTTTCATCACATCCCATCTATCGCCACCTGCGAAGCGAAGAATTTCACCAGCATACCTTGCTTTGTGAAATGGTTGTGAGTCAAAACCCTGGCACCCGGATGGTACCTAAAATAGCTGGTTAATGGATGTTGATTCTTCCAAATATGGTAATAGTAGGTTCTGACCCATCCCCAAATGACCATGTCTGGATTTCTGTTCTTTCTAATTCCAGCTCGAAGAATGATACCGACGAGTGATTTGAACTGTGGCACAGGTCGCGAACGCATAGGTTTTACTTTTTGACTTCCTGACTGAACAGAAAGCACATGTTGAGGAATCTGGTGTAGGTGAGAGTGATGCAGATGTTTAGGCTCCAACGCATCTCCAACCCATGAAATTTCAAGATTATCTTTTCTTGGAAGCACTGGGTTTCCATGCCTTTTTCCCAGAAGACGTGGTACAATGGCAAATGCTTTTCCCACAGACTTCCTGTCCTGCGTTTTCTGGACGCACCAGCTGCGTTGAGGAAAGAAATGGACCAATTTGCACCTTGACCAAATCAAGTGAGCGCAGAGTGGATAGACATACCAATTTCTTTGTGAAATTTGCGACTAGAGGTTCATAGAGTTGGATGATTTGCTCTAGTGTGATTTTGTATGTCAAAGCAATCTCAAAGTCAGCCCCCACTACTTCATGCTTGAAACTCCTTGTAATGTATTTTTCAAGTTTAAACACAATTCCTGTGACTGCGGCAGTGCAGCGCATGCTTTTCGCCTCACTGAGGGCTTCATTTGCGAGCATGACCAGGAGTTTAAGGTTCCCATCCCTGCTACTGTCAGCAAGGTCAGCAGCGGATGACCATTGCAGTTGAAACATGTGGATTTGCAACTAAGAACTAAGACTAGCTGCTACTGTAGTGCTTGATACTTCAGCAGCTCAAGTTGCGTAGACTTACCGGATCCATTGCTAGTGCCGGATCCATCCTGATCCCATTGGGTGATTCTGAACAAATCGTCTTCTTCGGCCGTTGCCGATCGATAACTGAAAACTCCAGTCGGAACGGCTTGAATTTGTCAGAAAAACACCATGGTAAGATGCTAATATCAATCGATCCCCTGAGTCCATCTGGTTCTTGATAGTCTAGTGGTTGCAATCTGTTGCATTAAATCCATCGATTCCATCTGGCTCCCGCTTTCTGAGCATTGTTAGCAAGTGCCCTCAACTTGCGAAGCGCTTGCTTCGCACCGATTCAGTTCAAGCTGATGGTGTGGTTCCAGAACGAGGAAAAGAGCAGACCAACAGATAAAGAGGGCCTTTGGACCGAAGAGCTCTTGGGGTTGTCCTGACATGTTTCTGGCCCTGTGAGTCCTTAAGTGGAGGATGCAAAATTTGCAGTTCAGATCTGTCCCAATAGTGACGTGCGTTTGACGTTTTGTCTTTGAAGTTTGGGAGTCCCAGAAGTCCTCTTGAGTGTGGTGAGGGAAACAACCATAATCACCAATATATTGGCAATATATTGGCAACATGCAACCTTCTTGGTAGGAATGTGTAGGAATGCTGCCCTGGATGCATTGGCTTGTGCCCATTGATCACACGAGATGATGTTTCAGAATCTCCAAGCAGAATCGGAAGTCTCACAGGGTCACTGCCAGACCCATGTAAATTTCTTAGATTTCGATTAGGCTGACATTCATTGATTATACCATTTACCATCATTTACCTATGTTTGCAATGCTCATATGTGTGCACGTCCCTGTCCATGTATGGATGCATACAAGCAGGAGGACATGCTAGTACCTGCACAACACACAATAATCCATAGCAAAACATGACAATACGAAGGTATAATCTAGAACATGGTGCGACATCGCATGATGTTGTATTGTATTCCGCATCTTTTTGCTATACATGCTTCATGGCAAAGCACTGGTACCATTTGCGCTTACCCCTTATGCTTCCCCTTATTTTCCCTGCGGGTTCCCTGCGCCGGCGCTGGCGCCACGCGACAGCTTCTCTGAAGCCTTTGACCTGATTTTGCCGGATGACGCTGTACTGATGGGTGACGATTTGGATTCTCGGCAGTTTCATTCATGGCTGCCCTCGTACAATCTTTGTACAATCTGAATGCCCATGTATTTGAATGTACAACATTGAGAAAGAAACGAGCATGTGTACATTATCATTGTAAGATACTATACTAGTACGTATATATGACAGTATCATGTAGAAATTATAAATTGGCTCAATGTGCGATCCAATGCAAGTGTTCTTAGCTGTTTTGAGCGAGTGACATCAAGTAACATCAAGTAACATCAAGTGGCATCAAAAATTCCTCTGCAAAACGAAATGAGAAATGGTGCGTGAATTGCAACACATCTGTGTCACTAACTTGGTGTGGGTTGGTCCTATGTCAGTCCGTTCCATCGGCCAAGGCGGACCAGAAGCGTGTCATGTTCTACACCACTTGGCACACCACACTGTCGCAAGGCTTGCAGAGGATCCAGGACGGGAACTGGGCAGCGACTGCCATGGCTATGTCACGGCTATGTCGCTAAGCACCGAAAAACATTGGGCGCATGTCAGGAGACTGTGGAGGACCCTGCGGGGCAGCACAGACTCTGTGATCACAGAAGTCAAAGAACCACATTGGCTGCGATCTACCCCGGTTGGTTGGTGACTATAGTATCTATAGTCATTTACCCTCTGGTAAACTAACATAACTATGGAAAATCACAATTTTTAATGGGAAAATCCACTATTAATGGTCATTTTCAATAGCTATGTTAGTCATAACCAGAGGGTAATAGGGATTTTAACAGCTTCGTATTTTGCCATGATCCCCTTGCAGACGTCTTGTGCATTCTTGACATTAATCATTGGGAGCATTCTTGAAGTAGAATCATTGCTAGTGCACCCAATATATAGATATTATAATTACGTAGATATATACATATTGTAATAGGGATATGTACATATATATATATATATAATCACCACCCCTTTAGGCTAATTGCAAGCAGGGGGGCGTTCCAAAAATGTAGATTGCAATTTTGCCCCCTCGGAATTTGACCGCAGGGGTCATGCTAATTGCAAGCGTGGACCCCCCCAACGTCAGAAGCCGAAGCCTAAAGTTTTTACATTTAGAGAGGGGGGGGGATGAAAAATAAAGGCACGTAAGAGACCGGTCACCCCGTACCCCCCCCCGAACCCCCCCGAACCTACCCCCTTCGGACATTATGGAAGGGGGGGGGAGGGAGGTAACAATTGTAAAATGTCTGACGAATTGTCCGAAAACAGTCTCCAAGAAGTTTGCAGATGTTTGTAATCAACCCACACCTAAGGTCCATATTTACTTGCAGAAACAGCTCAAAGTAGATGATAAAATCAAGATAAATCCATGTAACCATCCTACATCTAAGGTCCTTATTCACTTTGAAATTTGATGGGGTACATTCGAGGTCCATTTGAGGTACATTTGAGATATATTTGAGATCATTTAGGTGCAGAAATGGCTCACTTTTTTTTTGATATGACTTGGCTCTGGAAAGCAAAGCCAGATTCTTTGCCTCAATTTCAAGTAAGCATCCATTTACAAGTGGTTTTCTTATATACACTGCAAAGCAGTGAAATGATGGATCTACCATGCATTTCCTGGTTCTGCAGGGGTTGAAGCTTACAGTCAAACAGGATTACTCTCCAACCTACATTTTCCCTTTTCCAAAATCCAGTAGCATACCGATCCGATATTTTCACCTTTTTTTGCACCTTTCTGATCTTTCTGCGACATATCCTCAGGACCTTTTCAAAGATCCCGAAATTCTTTGCTTCCCTTCCTTTCTTACATCTTTCGGGTTCCTTACCTCCTATGTGATGCTTCTGTATTGTCTTCCCGTCTCGTTTATTCTGTCAAGTTTTTGGAGGGGACTGTTGTGAACCTGTTTCTGCAAGTAAATGTGGACCTTAGGTGTAGGATGGTTACATGGGTTTATCTTGATGTTCTCATCTATTTTGAGCTGTTTCTGCAAGTAAATATGGACCTTAGGTGTAGGATTGTTACATGGTTTTATCTTGATGTTCTCATCTATTTTGAGCCGTTTCTGCAAGTAAATTTGCACCTTAGGTGTAGGATGGTTACATGGTTTTATCTTGTTTTTATCATCTACTTTGAAGTGTTTCTGCAAGTAAATGTGGACCTTAGGTGTAGGATGGTTACACGGGTTTATCTTGATGTTCTCATCTATTTTAAGCTGTTTTCTGCAAGTAAATATGGACCTTAGGTGTAGGATGGTTACATGGTTTTATCTTGTTTTTATCATCTACTTTGAAGTGTTTCTGCAAGTAAATGTGGACCTTAGGTGTAGGATGGTTACACGGGTTTATCTTGATGTTCTCATCTATTTTAAGCTGTTTCTGCAAGTAAATATGGACCTTAGGTGTAGGATGGTTACATGTATTTATCTTGATTTTATCTTCTATGTTTTTTCTGAGCTGTTTCTGCAAGTAAATATGGACCTCAGGCATATGATGATTACATGATTTTTACACCTGTGCTGAATTAATTTCTCATTGGCAGGAGGCAAATTTGAAGACCTCCAACATCTATTTTTACATTTATTGAATTTCAAGGATTTTCCAATAATTTGCAAGGAATAATATACCTTCTATAAATCTATATTACATGTGTAAATGATGAAAAAGTGTAGAATTCATTGAAAATAACAGGCAATTGAGGCCCTCTAGGGATACAGATTGCAATTATGATTTTATGCAATTCTGCAGCTATTTGCAGACCTCCAGACTATTGTTCTTGCATTTTTTCCATGTTCTTACATTTGTTTCCGTAAAATGCAACTTGCAATATTGGACGCCCCCCCCCGGAAAATAATTGCAAGTCGGTAAAAGGTGGGGGTACATAATTGCAATCTACGAACCTATCAAAATGCAATCTTGCAATAAAGACGATGAACAACAAAAAATTGTAAGCATACATTTTCATAGGTCCCCCCCCCAAAACAACGTCTTATTGCAAGCTTGCATTTTGAGCGTCCCCCCTCCTTAAAAGGGTGGTGATTATATATATATATATACACATCTTGCATATACACACGTACATATATACATGTATAGTATATTGTGCATGAACGTGCAATTATCCATTTGGAGCAATGAATCACCGTGTCTCAGCATTCTTCACCTAGGTCGCCATGCGATCCCCATTCTACAGGTGTGGAAGGGCTGGTGACGATTAGCGACTATGTTGATATACCCTCTGGTAATATATGAAGAATCACCATTTATATAATAATAGGTAAATCATGATACATCATCTATAAACGGACCAATTTGCCACAAATTATGTCAAACAACCAGAGGGTACATTGAAATGCCCAGTGTGCACATCATTCAGTCTATTGATCAAATTGAGTGAATTCCCAGCTTTATTTCTTCCCATTGATCGCTGACATCGACACGTCCCACAGTGGTGAGGTTTAGAAAGAGGATCCGAGACTACTTCTCACCTCCGGTCACAAAGGCACAGCCCGTCACGGGCTGTGGCGTGGGCAAAGTTCAAAAGCTTGGCTACTGCTTGATCTAATCTTTTTGAGGATCATCTTGAGCTTCAAATGATAAGATCAATTCTTCTTGACAGAAATGTAGTTTGGAGACAAACTCCAGGAGACCATCTCCAGGATCTCTCAACTTGGGAGGATAATGGAAAATTGATGCCAGGCCAGGTGTGTCCCGGTCTCACAATTGGAGTCGGTGATGGTTTTGCAAAACGGGAATAGTTAGACCAGAAATGAATAGAAGATAATAGAAGTGATATAGAATTATTGCCTTCGAGACTTGCTGCTGGTGTTAACTTTCGGATTTACGCCAGTTTCTAAAAAGAACTTCAGGAAGTACCATGAGTTATAATCAAAGTTATTTTCCCTAATTTTGGGGCTTTGGGGACCCCCGAACATTTTAATAAATTTGGTGGTTTATGAATCCCGTGTTGACATCATACGTTTCAGAAAGCCACGAAATCGGCACCGTGCAGGATGATGTCAGGAAATCCATGGGTTTTGTGGACATGTCTGCAGGGGCTTCCCAGCGACCGTGGTGTATCCAATTTTTGCACATCAAGAGTTGGGATAATCAAGAATTCACTGATATTCACTGGAATTTCATCACTTAATCAATCTTAATCAGTTAATTCATGTTAATTCATAGCATCCATATCGATCTTGGTGTACATCAGTGTTTTTTTCGGTCTAAACAAGCTCCTTTTTTATTTCGTTCTTCACCTAAGAATTCTTAGGACATCGGACCTTGGGAGAATCGGATCGTCCGCACCCCAAGG